TATTTAGGTCAACTGGTGATGTGGTGGTAGTTGGGTGCCGTGGAGTTGATTCCAACTCATGGTGACCCCGTATAGGGTTTCTGAGGCTGTAAATCTTTACAAGAGCAGAAAGCCTCATCTTTCTCCCATGGCCACACCATTTGCTCATAACTATTTCAACCTGAAGTTTGAATTTTTTCTTCAGTTTTTTCCACTTGAGAAATGCTGAGAGTTTGGTTTTCTAACTCCAGGTTTTTGCAAATTTCCTTATAATAAGTCTTTTCAAGCTGTCCTTTGACATTTTCTGTTCAGCTCTTTTGCATCATCATTTCTTCCATTTGCTTTAGCTATTCTACATTCAAGACATTTTTCAGCATCTCTGCTGAAATTTGATTTTTTTCTTTCTTTTCTGTCTTTTTAATGATCTTGTGCTTTCTTCCTGTATGGTGTTCTTGATGCCATCCCATAGCTAGTCTGGTCTTCGGTCATTAGTGTTCTATGTATCAAATCTGTTCTTGAAATGGCCTCTAAATTCAGGTGGGATATGTCCAAAGTCATGTTTTGGTTCTGTGGGCTTGTTTTAATTTTCTTCAGTGCCTGAACTTGCATATGAGCAATCACAATTAGCTCCTGGTCTTCTTTTGGCTGATGTTGTGAGTTTCTCCGTCATCTCTTCCCAGATGTAGTCAATTTGATTCCTGTGCATTCCATCTGGTTGATGTCCACGTGTATGTTGTGTTGTGAAGTGCTGTTGAGTTGATTCCGACCCATAGCGACCCTGTATAGGGTTTCCAAGGAGCAGCTGGTGAGCTTGAACCACTGACCTTGCAGTTCAAACAACTTTGTAGTCTAATGCATTAGCCCACAGCACCACACCAGTCACCATTTATGTTGTTGAAAATAAGTATTTTCTGTGAATAAATCATGATCTTGCAAAATTTTATCATGAAATCTCCAGCATAATTTTCTATCACTAAAGCCATGTTTTCCAGTTACTGATCCCCTCTCTTTGTTTCCAACTTTCACATTCTAATCACTGGTAATTACCAACGCATCTTGATTGCATGTGTGATCAATTTTAGAAAGAAGAAGTTGATAGACTTCAATTTCTTCATTCCAGGCTTTGGTGATTGATGGGTACATTTGAATAATAGTTTTGTTAACTTGTCTGCCTTATCCTATCACAGACAGCATTATGTTTCTATATAGATCTTGAAATGCTCATTTGGATGATGAATGTGACACCATTTCCCTTGAATTTGTCACTCCTGACATAGTACACCATATGAATATCTGATTCAGAATGACCAATATCTACCCATTTCAGCTCACTAATGCGTACAATATGATGTTCATATGTTCTTGTTCATTTTTGATGACTTCCAATTTTACTACATTCATACTTCATACATTCCCAATTCTGAATATTAATGAATGTTTGCAGCTTTTTCTCATTTTTTGTCATGCCCCATTAGCAAGTGAAAGTCCTGAAAGCTCTATTCCATCCACATCATTAAGGCCAACTCTACTCTGAGGAGACAGCTCTTCCTCAGCCATATTTTGAGTGCCTTCTCACTGCTTTTCATAAGGTTTTCAGTGGCTAGTCATTCAGAAGTGGTCTGCTTCTCCTTCTTCCTAGTCTGTCTTAGTCTGGAAGCTCCGCTGAAGTCTGTCCACCATGGGTGACCCTGTTGGTATTTAAAACACTAGCGGCATAACTTCCAGCATCACAGCAACACGAAAGTCACTACAGTACTACAAATCAACAGATGTGTGGGGTAATATTTAGGTTAACTGGTGGTGGTGGTGGTGGTGGTGGTGGTTATATGCCATGGAGTTGGTTCTGACTCATAGAAACCCTGTATAGGGTTTCCAAACCTGTAAATCTTTACAAGAGCAGAAAGCCGCATTTGGAGCAGCTGGTAGATTTGAACTGCTGTTTAGGTCAACTAGGGAAGTTAAATCTATTTAGACTGGACCTGTTTTAGCTATTGTTCAAAAGTATGTATACATATTATTGTGATTTATAAGCCTTTTGGAAGTTAGATAGATCCAGGGGCACAATTATGACCATTTTTTCCCTCAATCAAAAAACAAAAACACACTACCATTGAGATAATTTTGACTCACAATGACCCTATATAGGGTTTCCAAGACTATATATCTTACTGGGAGCAGACAGCCTCATCTTTCTCCCACAGAGTGGCTTGTGGATTTTAACCACTGACCTTGTGTTTAGGAGGCCTGTGCTTAACCTACAGCACCACCGGGGATTTTTGTTGTTATTGTTAGGTGCCATTGAGTCAGTACCGACCCATAGCAACCCTATGCACAGCAGAACAAAACTCTGCCCGATCCTGGGCTAACCTCACTACTGTTGCCATGCTTGAGTCCATTGATGCTGCCACTTGGCCAATCCATCTCATTGGGGGTCTTTCTTCCTCTTTTTCTCTTACCCTCCATCTTACCAAACATGATGTCCTTTTCCAGCGACTGGTCCCTCCTGACAATATGTCCAAAGAGTGAGAGACAAAGTTTGGCCATCTTGGCCTCAAAGGAGCACTCTTGCTGCACGTCTTCCAACACGAATCTATTGGTTCTTTTGGCAGCCCATGGCAATTTCAGTATTCTCCTCCAACACCATAACTCAAAAGCATCTATGGTCTTCCTTATTTACTGTCCAACTTTCTCATGCATACGAGGTTATTGAAAATATCATGGCTTGGGTCAGGTGCACCTTAGTCCTCAAGCTGACAGCTTTGCTTGGATCTTTAGTTACTATTAAAATATAACTTCTCTTGTTTGGGGAGTTCTAGATAATCTGTGAAGCTAGGAAAACATTCCCCATGTGTGGAAAGATCAAAAGGGTTTATATTTTTCTATACATAATCATCCTTAGAAGCCAGGATAGTAAGACTTCATCTCTCATACTTAGTATATGTTATCAGAAAGACCAGTTTCTGGAGAAAGGCATCATGCTTGCTAAAGTGGAGGGTCAGTGACAAAGAGGAAGACCCTAACGAGATGGATTGACACAGTGGCAGCAGCAATGGGTTCAAGCATAACAAGGATTGTGAGGATGGTGTAGGATCTCGAGGATGGTGTAGGGCCAGGCAGTGCTTCATTCTGTTGTGCATAGGGGCTTTATGAGTCGGAACCAAATAGAAACCACTTCACAACAACAATATAAATAATAACAATTTCTGTTGACTCTATTCCAACTCAGGACAACCCCACGTATGTTAGAACTGTTCTCAGTAAGGTTTTCAGTGACTGGTTCTTCAGAAGTAGATTGCTAGGCTTTTGTCTCTAAGTTTTCTCTGGGTGCACTTGAGCTTCCAGACTCTCAGTTATCAGTTGAATACATTAATGCCATAAGTGATGAGGTCTGTGAATCAGGATTTTTTTTGGTTGAAATTAGCTGAAACCCAAGTCCAAGTAAGAGAACAACTTTCTGAACTTACATAACTGGGAAATCTAAGAGAGGTTATGACTTTGCCACTTTTCTCCCCATCTTTGTCTCTCTGATGAACTCTCTTCTTTTGTTGGTCTGACTTGTCATTACTTAGCATCATTCTTTTCCTCCACATACAGAAGCTGTCCATGGAGGGACAGATGGTTGGGACAGCCCCACGTGTCCACGCTTACAGATCAGCATCAAGGGAAAATAGCTACTCTTCTCTAACCAGAAGTTTAATGGTTCAAACTCACAAGCGACTCCACAGGTGAAAGATGAGGCTATCTGCTCCCATAAAGATGTAGAGTCTCAGAACCTCTGGGGAGCCATCCTACTCTGTCCTGTAGGATCGCTGAGATTAGGAACTGACTTACTGGCAGCAGGTGCTTGTTTTTGGATACCACATCTCTCAAGGAAAAGGAGCCCAGTTGCCCTGCTCTCCACTAACACCAGTCACACGCAGGTCCACTCCCAGCCAACGGGAAGGGGTCACTGTGATTGGCAGTCCAACCAGAACCACACAGGGCTTCAGAGAGCAGTTCATGAACAGAAAGAGTGGTACTAGATGTAAACAAAGCAGACTGTGATAGGGAAGCCTGTCCTGGAGGTAGAACTCCGTTCATCATACATGCCTTAGGCAGCTGCTGCCTTCTCCTCTGCCAGGATCTTTGGCTGTCTTCTGTAAAGTGTTCCCATGAGGATTAGAGAGCATGTCTGTGCTTGGGCTCTAGGACCACCAAATGCAAGGTTGCTATTAGATAATCAGGTACTTCCCTGTAGCACTTAGTGAGTGCTCAGTACATGATGGTTTCCCCCTTGTTATTGTTAATAGAATAAAAAAGGGGCCAGGAGAGAGAAAAACAGTTCGTAAGCAGTTAGTGTATAAGTCCTTTCTTTAACCATTCTGAGCGAGGCCTCCTTCTCTGGGATGCTCCACCAGTGTTGCATAGATAGTTACTGATGAGAAGAGAGTAAAGACATCAAGAAGGAGGCAGGAGTCAATGGGTTTCAAGAAATTGGTCGTGAATAAACCCAGACCCATTGCCATCAAGTTGACTTTGACTGAGGGCAGCCCCATATGTTATAGGGTAGAACTGAGCTCCAAAGGATTTTCTTGGCTATAATGTTTATGGAAGCAGATCACCAGACCTCTCTTCCATGGGTGGTTCAAACTACCAACCTTTAGGTCACTTGTCAATCATCATAAACTGCTGGTGCCACCCAGGATCCCTGCTACACTAACGCAAAGCCACATCCTTCGAGTTGATTCCAACTCATAGCAAACTTCTAGGACAGAATAGAACTGCACCTTAGTGTTTTCAAAACAATACATCTTGAGGGAAGCAGGCAGTTTCATCTTTCTCCCGATGAGCGGATGGTGGGTTCAAACCACCAATCTCTTAGCAGCCCAACACTTAAGCCATTATGTCACCATGCATCCTTCGCACAATAAAGCCCATCCTAATTTGGAGGGAGAGAGTAATGACTCCAAGTGAACTGCAGCCCTGCTCGGAGCCTCTTCCAGGGACTTCATGTGTCACGATCTGCTTTGCTTCCCTCACAGTCCACCTGATTCCAGTGTCGACAGCTAAGAATGAAGTGAGTAGCAAGAGTCGAAAGAGAATCATGCCTGACCCAGTAACAGAGCCCCCTGTGATGGACCCCGTCTACGAAGCTCGTCTGTACTGCAACATTCCAAGTGTGGCCGAGCGCAGCATGGAAGGTAGGCCTGGTTGTGGTGCCTGACTTGGCATTTTGCAGACCAGGAGGGGTTTTACTAGGACAGACACACCTTTGTTGACGATTTCTTTTCAAGCAGCACCGTGGTAAGAAGCTACACAACCGGCATTCAAATCCTGAAGTTGCCATGAGGCTGTGCCCTTGAATGAGTACCTGGGCCACAGCTAGCTTCCTCATCTGTAAAATGGGGTAACTTCCACAGTGCTGCTGAGAGAATCAAGTCACGGCATAGCATGGTTTATGGTAACCAGTTATCAGTGTATCATTATTTGATTCCGATTCATGGTGACTCTGTGTATATGGAGTTGAACTGTGCTCCATACTGTTTTCAAGGCTATGACCTTTTGGAAACAGATTAGCAGGTCTGTTGTCTGAGGAGCCTCTGGTTGAGTTTGAACCACCACCCTTTCGGTGAGCCTTCCACAAGCGCTCACCATTATCCACATTTTTCAGTGAAGTGAAACACCAGCCAGATGGAAAGGTGTCCTTGGTGGGGCTTCAGGGCATCCTGCTGGGCTCCCTACCTCTCCTGGGGCTTAGAGCTTCCACAGGAGGTCCTCATGGTGTCTTATAGTAAAGGTGTAGGAAAATAAGGTTTCTGTGTAGAGCTTTGTTTTTTCAGAAGTGTATCAAAGAATAATATGTTTGAATATTTATGATGAATGTTTACTTATTTGCCTTGTTTCATAAAATATTTAAATCTATGGATGTGAGTGAAGGAATGGGGTCATGCCCCATTTCTCTAGCCTCCAGTCCCCTGCCTTGTTCCCCCAGGTATTGCTGGGGAGGCTGAGAGATGACCAGCCCTCTGATGCTCCTCTGCCGAGTCATGAGGTGATTCAGTGCCTCTCCTGACCAAGGCCCTGTAGCCCCTCAGGAAGGCACCGTGTCCCCTGGGAGGCCACTATTGCCCCTCCGCATCCCAGAGTGGACATTACCCAGGTAGCCCTATGTTCTGAGCACCCAGCCATGTTGGCACTTCCAGAGTGATGAATGAATACTGTGCTTTCCTCTCACAGGTCACGCCCCGCATCACTTCAAACTGGTCTCCGTGCATGTTTTCATCCGCCATGGGGACAGGTACCCGCTGTATGCCATTCCCAAAACCAAGCGGTTAGAAATTGACTGCACTCTGGTGGCTAACAGGTAAATTGCACTTCTTCTCAAAGGCATCTTTCAAGAGTCTCTTCTCTCTTGTACTCATCAGAAAGATGCCGGCATAATTGCATGGCAGGGGGAGTGACCTGTGTTAGCTGGACACTCACTGTTTGTCAGATGCCTTCAGGACTGTTTGATATGTAGATGCCATTTTACAGTTGAGAAGACTGAGACCCAGAACGGGTGAAGTCACTCATTTAAGGCTACAGAGCAGAAAAGCTAGTATTTGAGCCCAGTTCAGTCTGTGGCCCACTCACCCAGCCACTTGCTGTTCTTTAGTTTGAGGAACAGCTGGGACATGGAGCTGTGAGCACTGGTTTAGGAGTCCTTATGGTCTGGCTCAGCTCTTCCATTTGGGCAGTAAGCAAAACCCAGGTCTGGCCGAGCCTCATCCTCCTTTCTTCACTTATGTGGGAGTGGCATAAGTGAGGTGATGTAGGGGGATGTTCATTATCAACAGCATCACCTTATAAATGTAAGAGGTTCCTCCAACCTTTTAATTTTTCACAGGCATGGAGACAGCCAGTGCTTGGTTGAGAGCTCTTAGGATGAAAAATAATTGAACAGAGAATGGAAATTGTGTATGGAAATTGCATGCCCCTAAAATGAGAGGCACAGTTGGCAATAAAATGATAGGCCAGATCTCAGCAAGTGTATCTGGGGGCACATACCATCCCTAGCAGAGCTTCCTAAATGAGGTCAGGAGATGGGGAAGCGCTCAGTAGGAAAGACATTATGTTGATGGAATGCTTTTGGGGTGCCAATCTCTACTCCCAGCTGAGCAAGCCTAGTGGAGTTCTGGATGACCTCTGGGGTGGTAGGCTGGGCTGTTTGTTAAGCAGACTGCAACATAACTGAGGGGATTTTAGGTTAACCCTTTGCAGTCCAAGCCTTCAAGGTCCAGTATTGAGGGTTTGGGATGAAGTAAACCATGTTATTTATAAAAATATCATGATCTCCTGCCTGCCTATCAGTCTCTCTGTGCTTGTTCATTTACTGCTGGAATCATGATGCTTGCAACCTGGGCCTTCTTTCCTGTAATCAGCAAACATGGGTCTATGACCGAGCAGGCCATGGGCTTGGAAGCACCCTGGACAAGTCCAGCCCACAGCAGAGAGGCCAGGCAGGGACTTGCTTTCTCTTTTTAGCCCAACTCCGACTCCCTCGCCTTTTGTTCCATTCTTTCTGCCAGGCCCCTCTGCTCCTGCCTTGCCCAATTCCAGCCAGTCCTTCACCTCTTCACGCCTGTGCACAGTTCTGCATTGATACACAGGGGATCACCATGAGTTTAGGTCAACTCAGTAGCAACTGATTTGAGAGTTTAACTGGTCTTGTTGTTGTTAACTGCTGTCTAGTCATGTCTGACTCATAGCAATCTCATGAAGGGTTTCCAAGGGGCAGCTGGTGGGTTAGAACTGCCAACTTTGTGGTTTGGAGTCTACGGCTGATCATACAGAGTTACACCAGGATTGGGGCAAATGTGGAAGCCACTGGCTATGAGCATTAACCCTCGAGTTTCTGGGCTGTGGGGGCAGGTTAGAGCATTGGGGGGTAGCTGGTGGGCAGAGGAGGGGCTCTGGGAAGGCAGCTAGAAGAAGTGGCTTGTCAGGTGCAGCAGTGTTAATGTATAACAAGTGGTACAGCTTTGCCATTGCACACATGTGGACACCAGCCCTGTGAAGAGCCTAGGCATGGATGGACCACTAGGCCCCTGAGCTGGCCAGGTGCAGGACAGCCCCAAGGACTTTGGCCAACAACATGTTTCTGCCCCAGCAACTCCCAGTGTCTGCTTCTCTTTCTCTAGTCAGGTTTCAAATTCCCAGATGTAAGAACTTGATTGGCTTGGCTTAGACTAGGGGTCTGTTTCCAAACCAATCAGCTGTAGCCAGAATGTCCCTGGGCACCTCGAGGACTCCGAACCCACCTTGGGCATCTGGCTGTTGTCCTTGGACCTTTGCTGCTCACCATCCCAAGCATGACTGTCTCTGCCCTCCCCAGACCACGGGCTCCTCAAGGGCTCTGGTTCTTACCCTCCCTGTGCCCTCCAGTGCCTGGCATTTACCAGTTGTTGGATTGGGTTGATTGCATTATAAATTCTGCATTATAAAAAACAGAATCGTTGTTGCTGTTATTAAATGCCATTGAATCAGTTCCAACTCATAGGTGTGATATTTATAATGTGCCTCATTACAGATTAAGCCTCTGCCATGGAATTCTTTGAGGCCTTGCCAGAGTCAACCTTTGTCATGTATCGGATGTTGAGCAAGTCACTTCCTCACTCTGAATATGGGAATAATTATTGTTATTAAGTACTGTGGAGTCGGTTGTGACTCATAGCAAATCTGAATAAGGCTTCCAAGGAGCAGCTAGTGGGTTTGAACTATCAACCTTGAGGTTAGTAGTCCAGTGTTTATCCTACAGCGCCACACCAGAACTCCTGAGAATAATGTAGCTCTCTTATAATATCCTTGTGATGTCTAAATAAGATGACAGGAAAAGCATGTAGCCTGGTCCATATTGAGAGCGTGATAAATGGCACATGTCATTTACAGCAGCCACATGGAGGCCCTCAGGGACCTGGCCTCTTTCCTTCTCTGCAGTCCCAGAGCCTCTTACTCTGTCTTGTCAGAAGGCAATGGACGGCTCCCTTGATGGAGCTCCCATTCGATAGTCTTGGCTCCTGGGGCCCTGTTACCCTGGCTTCCTCTGCCTTCATTTTCCTTTGTCTCTATCCTTTGGCCTAGTTTTATTCTGTAGTTTTATGAGTTGCCATAAATCCTTTGAGGAAAGAAGGTAGAGTATGCATGTTTAATTAATTAGTGTCATTTAATTAATTCCATCTCTAAAAGATAAATAAATTTGACTTGTTGTTATAAACATGTACTTAGAGTGAACAGGAATCTCAATGAAGTGGAGCCACCTTGGGCCACTGACTCTCCTGGGATGGTGGTGTCTGGGTCCCTGGCAATGCCTGCCACATTTCCAGATGCTACCTCAGCTTCATAAATCGTCATTTCTTGACCTTATACTTATTGTATTGGTGTGGCACTATGGGTTAATGCACTGGACTACAAAGTCGGTTTGAACTGTAAGGTCAGTGGTTTAAGCTTACCAGCTGCTCCTTAGAAACTCTATACAGGGTCGCTATGGGTCAGAACCAACTTTATGGCACTTAACAACAATAACAACTTAGTGTACACCCACCCCCCAAAAAAGGCAGTGCATCTGGAGGGTGTCCATTACTTTAGTCCATTGGAAGCCAGTCTTTGGCAGGCAGGTACAGATGTAGAGAGCTGAATCAAGCAGGAGCTGTTCATCCATACAAGTCAGGTGCTCCAATGTTTCCATCCACAGTGCAACACTGCACAGCTTCTTGTGGTGGAAGCTGCCTCTTCTGAAAACCATGAGTCTCATGAGAAAGGTGTTGTTCTAACCTGTAGAGCTCTGCCGCCAGCAGTATGGTTGTGAGCCATTGATAGGCTATGCTTAGTAAATGTTGTTTTGCTTTGTTTTCCTATGAATTGCATAAGCTTTTCTAGCTCAGAGGAAGAAGAAAGTATTCACTTCAATCAGCATTTACTTAACACTTTATATTTTTAAGTGACTATGACATTCATGGTGGCTCTGTAGGATAAGCACTGGACTGCAAACCTAAGGCCAGTGATTCAAGCCACCACCACTCTGCAAGAGAAAGATGAAGTTTTCTGTTCCGTAAAGATTTCCAGCCTCTGAAACCCTATACAGGTCTCTATGAGTCAGAACCAACTCAACGGCACTTACCATCAACAACAACATGATGTGCCCTGAATGGCACAAATAGTTAGCATGCTTGGCTGCTAACCAAGATTGGCATCCAGAAGCACCTTGGAAGCAAGGCCTGGCAATCTATTCCCAAAACATCAGTTATTGAAAATCCTGTGGCGCACAGTTCTACTCTGACACACATGAGGTCACCATGAGTTGGAGCTGACTCAACAGGAACTGATTTATTTATCATGTGCCAGGTACTGTTGTAGGAGCCCTGTTGGCATAGCAGGTTACACGTTGAGTTGCTAACCACAGGGTCAGCAGTTTGAGTCCACCAGGGGCTCCATGCCCTTAAAGACAGGCTCCCTTACAGCCTCAGAAACACTATACAGGGTTGCTATGAATCAGAACCAACTGTACAGTACACAGTCAGCCAGCCAGGTACTGTTGGGTTTCTGAAGATTCATGGAAGAAAAGGTGGTCCTGCTTCTCAGGTACCCCAGAGTGTCTATAGGGATGGAAGTGGTGGCTGACACATGTCAGCACTCAGTGAATTCTAACTGCAGCAGCACTGATACAAAAAGAAGAGAAAGAAGTGGACGTGGTTTTCGTCCCACAGTTTGTCCCTGACTCAGCTTGGGGCAGAGAGGGGAGTGTGATGGTAGATCAAGGAAGGTCACCCAGAGAAAACGACCTAAAAGGCTGTGCTGGAGCCAGTCAGGTAGCAGCTGCTGATGGGTGGCCCCTTGGGAAAAGGTATGAGGTTGTGGACAGCTCGGTCCAGGGGAGCATTGACGTTAGTTTCACAGGGCTTAAGCACAGAGGGGAGAGAAGAACAGGAACTAGACAACAATTCTCTGCGTGCCCAGCCAGCAGTATGGACCCTAGGCATGTGGGCAATGAGGGAACGATGAAGAGTTTCAGGCTGGGCAGTGAAGGGATGAAATGAAGCTCTCTGACAGCCAGAGCATGGAGGGTGGTAGGCTGGAAGTGAGCAGTGGGGTTTACATGATTATAGTATTAATAATTCCAAAGAAAGACTACCCAGAGTGGAAGCAGAAGTCCTTATAATGGACGACGAGCCTTTCTGTGATCTCACACCATCTGTTACCTGTGGACCTCCTCTCCTCTCTTTCTGCCCTTTTTCACTTGACTTATGCACACTGTGCCTTGCTCGCCTCGAGATAGTCTGGCATGCTGCTGTCTTAGGGCATTTGCACTGTTTTCTCTAGAAGGCTACT